GAAACAAGGAGGTGACAGTGTTATGATATGGGTTGAAATTGTTGGCAAAACCATTATTGGATCATTCAAAGTTGATGAAGGAGTTAAACTGAACAGTGCTAACTATTGCATTTTTATGTACATGACCTTCTTTGCATGGTACAAGCCCCAGTCTCACAGTTTCAAAATTTATGCATGACAGTGCTCCTTCTCATGTATCTAAGCTTACCCATGAACTCTTTGAGCATAGAAGATTCATAGGAGAGTAGATAATGTAATAATAACCATCAAGTCCTGATTGAAAATCAAATTCAATCCAATTGAAAATCTATGGTCAGTTGTGAAGATGAAAAAGGTTTAAAATACTTTATGAATTGAGATCTGTGAAAAATCTTCTAGGCAACCTCCTCTCATGAAAGCAAATATTTTAAAGCATCAAAATTAGGCCAAGAAATACATAAAAATTGACTTTCCTAAAGTAATTTTCATGGATGAATCTCAACTAACATATGATGGACCTGATGGATGGGTCAAAGGATGGATTTTATCCAATTCAGACATGCCAGAGGCTAAAAAAAAAAGGCAACAAGGTGGTGGTAGTGTTAGAATAAGGGCTGGAATTGCCAGCCAAACCATTAATGAACCATTGAAAGTCAATGAAGCAGTTAAACTGAACAGTGTTAAGTATTGCAATTTTATGAAAAAGACTTTCTTTCCATGGTACAAGTCTCAGTCTCTCAGTTTCAAAGTGAAATGTGTATTTATGCATGATAACGCTCCTTCTCATGTATCTAAGCTTATCTGTTAATTATATAAGCATAAAAGATTTACAGGAGAGAAGATAATGAGATGGTCATCATCAAATTTTGATCTGAATCCAATTGAAAATCTATGGTCAATTGTGAAGATGAAATTATATAAAGGTGGCTAAAAATATAAGAACAAAGCAGACCTATGGGAAGCAATTAAAACAACCATATCAAAAATTGAACCTGCTAAAATAAAAATATTAGCAAAATCAATGGATAATAGATTATTGGCTGTTATTGAGAAAAAGTGTCACTATATTAAAATGTAAAGTATTCAAAGACTTATCATATGTGTTTATTTGTTCTGTTATTGGTGTTGATCAATTTTTTGATGTTTTTATTAAAGTAAAATGTGATCATTTGGTTTTGCCTAATAACTTCAGACAGTATTTTTTTAGAATACATCAAATAACTTCAATAAAGCATATTGATACTACCTAAAATTTTTAAGTCAGGCTTTGTTTTGAGATCTAAATTGATTGTTTAAAATTTGATAATTATTTTTTCAAACCAAATTTGAAATATTGAAGTTTATATGATTTGCTTAATAACTTTAGACAGTGTGTGTGTTGTGTTTATATATATATATATATATATATATATATATATATATATAAATTTTTCTGAATTTGTCTCTGCTAAACAATTCCGATTATGTAGTGAGTTCAATCCTCACTGGGTATCCCTAAAAATGGCCTTGTTAACAAAATTATGATTTTTTTCACTATATATATATATATAGAGAGATGATATCTTGGACTCTGCACTATAAACACAAGCAGGAGAACCCATAATGAAAGGTATCAGACAATTTCACAACCATGTTCATTATTTACATCTGGCCATTAACTCCCCAAACTGTAACTGAAAAAAATATTATATGTGGGATTTTTTTGACTGATTTCAAAAATCAAGATAAACTTTAGGGAAAGATTAAGGCAGGGTGATAAATAAATTTAAATACCATACAGGAGATTCTGAAGTCATATATATATATCTTTTGAGAGAGAGAAATAGATATGTGCATATATATATATATATATATTATATATATATATATAGTAATGAAAAAAAAAATTTGTTTTTGACATACAAATTTTTTAATTTTCTTTTAATAAACACACTTTTCATATAATTAACTGTTCACAGATGTATAATAACTGAATATGCATAGAAAACAGAGAAAAAATTATTTAATACAAATAAATACCATTTATCCATGTTAATGGGTGAAAAAGTATTCATTCAATGCAAATTTCAGATTTTAAAACTTTTAAATTGCTTTAATACTCTAGATTATTCAAGTGGAATATTCTAGAATATTCAAATAATTAATATCAGTAGTTAAAATTCCATTAAAAATACAAACAGTACATTCTGTAATTGATATTCAATGCAATGTTATCATCATGTTATTTATGGCATACAAAAAATTGCAAAAAGAAATGATTGTTAATATCTGGAAAGAAGGTAAAAAAAAGGAAAATCTTTTACAACCATTAGAACAGGTTATCCACAGAAGATTTTTCAAAAAATCTTTTTAAAAATTAATGCATTAAATGAAATAACAAAAACCAAATATTTTACTATCAAAGAGTTGCAGGATGATTTGCAATCATATGGAATCTGTGTCACTAAAATAAAAAAGAATGAATTCATTGAAACAATCTAAAAAATAGGCCTCCCTTGGAAAACTCTTTACTATTTGAAAAGATACAAATTGATAAATGAAATTTATTTTTGTGGACATAAGGATAAGAAAAAAACATATTTCAAAAGGAATTGTGGCCTTGTTAGGGCCAGAAATAAAGATACAAAAAGAGGAATTGAGTTAAACAAATATATTAACAGAAACAGTAATACAAACATATACAAACGAGAGTGTTACAGCAAGAATGTTCGGTCCGACTGTCAGAGTTGACTGCTGGAAACTTCCCTTCCAAAAGGCATAACTTTGAACATTTATAGCTGGGAGAGTCCATGCATGTTTGGGTAAATTACCATAATAAAAATATATATTATGGACAGATAAAAAAAAAATTAGTTGTTTGGATGTAATTTTTAGAAATCATATATGGAGGAAAAATATGACAATGCCTTCAAACAAAAAACACAGTTTCAACAGTGAAATTTGATGGTGGCAGCATCATGGTTTTGAATGTTTTTCCTGCAAAAAACTGGCAACATATCAGTAATAGATGGTAAAATGAATGCTGCAGTCATATCAAAATATTTTGGAAGAAAATTTAATGATTTCATTTGAAAATCTTGAACTTCCTCCTGAGTGGATCTTCCAACAAGATAATGATCCTAAGCACACTGCAAAATCTACAAAGAAATGGCTTGCTGAAAATAATGTAAATATCCTGAAATGGCCAAGTCAGTCCCCAGATTTAAACCCAATCAAGAATCTGTGGCATTATTTGAAAATTCAAATCCAATCGAGAGCTCCAACAAACATCCTGGATCTGAAAACCATATGTGAAAAAAAAATGGAACAAAATACCAACTAAAATTTTCAAATCATTAATTGAGAACTACAAGAAGAGATTGATTGTTGTCAAAGTGAATGATGGCTGTTCTACAAAGTATTAAATAAAGATTATGCATTCTTTTTGTATTGTATGAATAATTTTTTCACCCATTGTAATGGATAAGTGGGATTTATTTCTATTAAATCAAAAAGTTTTTGTTTTTCTATATATATTTATGATTATGCATCTATATATTCATTATTATATAAATGTATATTTATTCATTAATTGGAAATAAATAAATTAAAAATTTGTGTGTGTATATAATATATGTGTGTTTTTTGTGTATATATATATATATATATATATATATATATATATATATATATATATAAATAACATTGTATATATATTTATTTATATAATATATATATATATATATTTAAATATATGAATATATATATATATATATATATATATATTTATATATATATATATATATATATATATAACACATACACATTTAACGAATTTTGAAGATAATATAAATATTTTTAAAATAATCAATATATATATATATATATATATATATATAAATATACACATAGACACACATAAAAAAAAATTTTTAATTAAAATAAATTAAAAAGTGGGAAATATTGTTTTTTAAAATATCCAAATTTTTATTCAGATTTCTTGATGAATTGAAATATTTTTACTTTTTTTTTAAGTTTTTTAAGATTTTTTTAAAATTCCTTTAGTATGTTTTCAAAAAACATTTTTAATCAAAATAATAATGAAGAACTTATGGTTAGCTATTTCTGATGAAAAATATTTATAAAACATATAATAAATAGGAAAATATATATATAAAAATATATATATAAATATATGAGGAATATAGAGCAGAGTTTGAAAGCATTTGGATATTTTTATTTTTAGAAAGTTTTTAGAATATTTTTTGAAAAGGAAAAATATGTTTATTTCAAGAGATGGAAAATTAAATATTTAGGACGGACAAGTTCCCATCCTATAGCCTTTTTTGACTAGTCTAGGAGAAGGAAAAATCATAACTGGAATAATGCAAACCATATGTCAAAAAAAAAAAAATTTAAAAATACCAACTAAAAATAGCAAGTTTTAATTGAGAACTACAAGAACATTTTGATTGTTGTAAAAGTAAAACTTTATTCTAATTTTTCAGCATGTTTTGCTCTGTCAGGCTAAAAGAATTTTAATATCAAAAATGACCTTCTTGTTAGAATCCTTCTTTTTTCCTCCTTTCATGAGATTAAATTTTAATCATTTTTATATTTCTTCCATTTAAAAAAAATATATATATATATATATATATATAATACAGATAGTTCAAGCAAAAAAAAAATTAAAAAGCATTTTTTTTTTACATTTAATATACATTCATCCTCTAGGGATAACTGAAATCATAAATTGCTTTTAAATACCTCATTCAATAATTTAAATGCTCTATTCGAATGATTTAATTTGTATTGGGTTTGACAAATATGGATATGTATGAACACTGTGATAGATACAAACAGACTGAAATAGGTAGATATGATTAATCTGAGAAAGATAGATAAAAATAAATTATAATGATTTCAAAGGGTCTGAATAAAGAATAATCATTTTTTGAATTTAAATTTTTTATGAAAAATAAAATTGGTCCAAAATTTTTATCAGATTGGAAATTTTTTTTAAAAATCTTTTGATAAACATCATGGAAATTTGGAAAAAAATCTTCCTATCTATCTTTCTGTGTCCCTATAAACTCTAAAATCCCAATATAATACATATAAATATATATAAAATAAAAATATATCATCTTTTGATTTATATTTATTTTTCTCTCAATATATATATTTATTTTATTTTGATTCATGAAAATAATGATTAAATAAAATGGAATATTTATATATACATATTCCAATATATATAATAAATTTGTAAATTATGATGGACAAACACATAAAAGTTTAATATCATTTTATAAATTCATTATTCTTTTTTTAACATAAAATTCAGGATCGTTTTTTATATTTCGTCTGTGCAAATTAAAATTTAAAATATGATTCATATAAACATATATATAAATAAATATATATATAATTCTTTATCTATTGTGTATAAAATATTTCCTTATATATATATATATATATATATATAACCTTATATTATTTTTTCGTCATATATATAATATATATATTTTTTAATATATTTGAAAATTTACCTTTAATATAAATATTTACATATATATTTCATATATATATATATTTATATATATAAAATGGATATAAATATATTTGTATTTATATAATGTATATTTTATATAAATATATTTATATAAATATTTATATATATTTAAAATATAAAATAATATAAAACCTTATATAATATATATATAAAATATGTTTTATATATATATATATAATATATATATATATATATATATATTAAAATATATATATATATATATATATATATATATAATATATTCGTTAATATTTATCTTCTCTACTTCATTATCTGACGTAGAATTTGTCACATAAATATATATATTCATTTATATTATATTTTGATAAATATTATATAAATATATATTTATCATTCATTTATATATATGTTGATGCAATACATATGTATATATAAATGTATTATATAAATATATATATAGTATGTGCATGTACATATAATACATATATAAATATATATATATAATATATATATATATATATACATATATATATATATATTTATATATATATATGTTTAATGTACATTACATATATGTATATATGCTATATATATATATATGTATTTTCATATATATATATATATATATATATATATATATATATGTGTTCATATATATATATTATATATAAATATAAAAAATATATGCATCTATATATCTATATATATTTATCTATATATATTTTGCTTTATGTGCATTTCTTGGAAATATATATTTATCAAATTTATATAATATATTACTCATAAAATTTATATATATGTTTATATATATATATTTCTCTTATTTTATATATATATTATCTTATATAACATATATTTTATTAAATATATTTTTATATATATATATATATGTGCATGTATATATATATATAAATATAATAAATATATATATATAGAATATATATATATATATATATGTATATAAATATATATATGTGCATGTATATTATATATATATATATATATATAAATATATATTTTGCATTTATATATATATATTTTAACCAAAATTTATAGCTATAATTTAATAACATTTATTTATATGATGTCTAAAATGTATATAAATATGAATTACATACATATTATATTTTTAATATATTTTTATATATATTATGCATGTTGTCTATATTTTTATATTATATATATATATATATATATAATTAAATATATATATATATATATATATATATATGTCACCATTTTTATATAAAACATATATTTATTTAAATATATATATATATTGTAAATAAATATATATAAAGAATAAATATATATAAAATTAATAAAACTTATATATATATTTATATATATGGATTTGTACATACCATATATATGTAATAAATATAATATATAAATATATTTATATATGTGTGTATATGACTATATGTTATAAATATTTTTTTTATATATATATATATATTGCATATATATTTATATAAAAAAATATATTCCTGCTGTGATGTACATACATATAAATATAAATATATGTATATGTTTATATATATTTTCATTTCATGATATATATTAACTATATTTTCATATATATATATATATATATATTCATATATATATATATATATTCAATATAAATATATATATATATATTTATATATATTTTATTCTATATATATAATCTATATATATATAAATATATATATATAAAATATTTTTCACATATTTCGGTTTTAAATATTTTATATATATATATATATTCTTATATATATCAGGAAGACATTTTTATTTTTATCTGAATAATTGAATATTTATTATTATATACAAAACTATATTTAATCTGTAAATATATATATATATATATATATATATATATATATATATATATATATATATATATTATATGTATATTCGGGTTCTATATGTACAATTTACCGAAATTTTAAATTAAAAATATATAATATATATATATATATATAAATAAAAATACTATATATATGAATTAAAAATTTTATATATATATATTATATGTCTCATTCACTATATATGTATAAAAAAACTGCTAAATAAAATATATATATATATATATATGCATATATATATATATATATATAAATATATATATATATATATATATATATATATATATATATATATATATATATATATATATATATATATACATATATATATATATAAATATATGTATATAAATATATTATATAAATATATATATATATATGATGTGCATGTACGCATATATATATGTATATAAATATCGTGTATATATACATATGTATATCCTAAATATATATATATATAAATAATATAATAAAAAACAAGTAAAATAAATTAATCCAAATAAATAAACAAACTAAAAACTGATCCCGATAAAATAATCGTTAGAAAAAAAAGCAAATAGAGATAATCAATCCAAATAAATACATGAAGTAATAAACAAAATTAAAAACTGCTCCCACCAAAATAATAGAATAAGTTACAACAATCAGCCCCAAAATTGAATAAATAGCTTTAATTATCTTCCCAAACCAAAACAAAACATCCTCTTTCCATTAGGGAAACCACTTTTTTTTTAACCAAAGTGTGTCCCTAAGTTGTTTAGCAATGAAGCAAGGGCAAGGTTTTAAATAAGCCTATTAATGAAAGGCTGTTCTTCTCATTGAATACTGTATCTTCTAGCTTTAGTTTTATACCCAAAAAGTAATTTATATATATGTATATATATATATACATACACACATGCATGCATGCACACAAGAAAAAGAGAAATATATAGCACTTTCTATATATATATATATTCAAATGCACCAACATATATGCACATATACAGATAAATGGGCAGATATGAGTATAAAAGTATTCTTAATACAATATGTATCTATTTCAGTCTATTCAGATACTTAGATAAGTTTACTATAATCTGTTGATATCTGTCTTTGTAGGTTCATTATCTCCACCTGAATCTATCATCATCTTTTCATTATCTGTCTATCTTCATCTGTTTGTTTTCTAATCCAACTTGAATGTATCTTAAGGAAACTGAGTCATTTGAACAGTCTAAGATATATCCAAGTTGGGATAGATAACGAACAGATAAAGATAGGTGGATAGCTATATATATATATATATATATATATATTTTTCTTGACATAGGCAGAGTAAGACATATGAACAATATCAAGAGGATATTTATATATAAAAAATTAATCAATTAGCATTTTTTAATTCATTAATGGCAGGGCAAAAATTCACTAACAAGACTTAAAATACATTAACATATCAATTCAACTGCTTAAATAATATGATCCTTATATCTGAATTGTTATCAGATGGAATTGATGAGCCTAGTACTTTTGAAAATTTCAAATTGTAATTTCAGGGAGCAGTTTTTTTCCATATACAGGCAAAAACCCTAGACAAAATATGACAACAGCTCAAATATAAGGATTGTATTATTCGAGGAATTGATAGTAAATTAATGTCTCATTAAGTCTTATTAGCAAAGTGATTTTGCTATTAATTTCATTAACATTGCTAATTAATACTTTGTATAAATTACTTCTCATGATATAATATAAAAGCTGCACACTCTAATATATATATATATATATATATATTCATACACGTTTCATTAAATAATATAGACAAGTAGTGTCTATTTATTTTATGTAAATTTTTTTTTAACATCTGATAAGTTTAATAACATTATCGTTGAATGAAGAAAGAAATTCACAATATTGATCTATATTTTTTTAATATAATCTAAGCTTTCGGCTTACTTAAGCCATTATCAAATATGTCAATTACAACATATTAAGCAATATACAGACAAGACAGTGATGACAGTCTGTGAATGTTTACATAGATGATTTTAATATATATATATATATATATATATATATATATATAGCTATCCATCTATCTTCATTTGTTCATTATCTACCTCAACTTGAATCTATCTGTTCATATCTGTTTCAATCTGCTTCTATCTCTAAAAGATGAATATACCTAGCTATCCATCTATCTAACATGTGTCTGTTATCTTTCTCAGCTTTATTATATCTCCGTATCTATACTCCACTGTAGTTCATGTGTGTGTATATATATATATATATATATATATATATATATATATATATATATATATATAGAGCGATGGATAAATTGTCATCTGAATTACCCAAAATGAAAATAATACTGACATCCATTTTACCAGATATAGTTACCAAAATTACCCAAAAATATCTTGAAATACTAAAGAGTAAATTTTTTACAATAAAATTTTAATTGGCTTCAACTACAACTCCTGACAACTTTAAAATCTCCTGCAACTATTCTGAATGGTCTAACTTGGTGAATGCTGCCATAATCCTTGCCTTCAGTTTATCTTTGGTGCTACAAGGAGTTTTTTTATTTCTCGCTCAACTGCGCCCCACACATAATAATGAAGGAGGTTGCAGTCTGGGGAGTAGTTAGGTGATCAGATATACAGGGTCATGTGGTTGCAGAAATTGTCTAAGAGCCATGACTGGGTTCTCCTGCTTGTGTGGCATGATGCAGAGTCTTGTTGCTAGATATAGTGTCTTCCTGCAGCCACCCTCTTGACAATGTAAGACCGAGCAGATGCAAAGAGGTGCTCTCATGGAGTTGAGCGTCAGACATTCTAATGGGAGGCAGGGATGGTTCTCTCTGGTGAGTAATAGAAAGCAGTTTTGTTTTTGAGGCATTAAAGTTAACCAGCCAATTCCTCCCCTAGTCCACAACTGATTGGAAGTCCTTTTCGAGACAAATGGCCAGGTTAGTTTTGTCAGTGACACTAGATTTGTTTTTGAGATGGGAGTAAATAGTAGTGTTGTCTGCGTAGATACCTAATTGGGAAAAAGGAGGTTTTTTTTTATCTCTTGCTCAACTGCGACCCACACATAATAATCAGCTTTGACCATGGCCTCCAGGCAACTTCAGAGTCTCCTGCAACTTTTTGGGATGGTTTTCTTGTTTAAGTTGGTGAATGCTGCCATAATCCTTGCCTTCAGTTCTTCTTTGGTATTACATCTCTCACTCAACTGGGCACCAAGGGAAGTGGGGGGTTGCAAGTCTGAGGAGTTAGGTGACCAGATGTATGGAGTGATGTGATTGCAGAAATTGTCTTACAGGTATGACTGAGTTCTCCTGCTTGTGTGGCATGGTGCAGAGTCCTGTTGCCAAACATAGGGTCTCCAAGCAGTCACCCTCTTCATCCAGGGCAGTACTAACTACCCACTCAAGGCTCCATGTTGAATCTGAGGCACTCACCAACAAATTCAGGAGTTCTTTTCTTATCATAACAATCAGAGGGAGTTTTCTGAGCTGCTGTACCTTCATAATCACCATTAGACTCATCCAACTCTTTCTGAATCCTCTTACTGTCCTCAGATTGACACCTAGACACTCTCAAATGTTCGTATTGGAGCTTCCAGTGTACATGCCAAGCGGTACAGTATGTCATTTCCAACTTTCTGGCTGAGTGTATTGCATCAGGTACTCTTTTTTCTCACAGATGATGCCCAAATGTACCTGCTATACTGTGCAGTTGACAAAATCAAAAACATATAATGCGCATGCATGAAATTAAAAATATAAAATTGCGACAATTTACCCATCGCACCCTTTATATGCACATATCAGCAGAAGAAATTCTCTGTTGTACAAAAATCTGAAGTATGTATCTGTATGTATGCAGACTCACACATGGAAAGACACACCTGGAGACATGGATACACATGCATAGATATGTAGGCCCTTGCTTGTTGTTCTTGTTTCTGCTTCAGCTGATTTCATGAAATGAATGTTTGAGGGACACTGACACTCACATGAATAGGTCATCACTGTGATTTTTAAATATAGATAATTGAGTATTGATTATGTAGGCCTTGCTGCTAACTCATCACCTCCATCTTACTCTCTATTCTCTACTATCTCTCTCTCTCACACACATACTTGCAGACATCATCTTTCTCACTCTCTTCTCATCTTCTCCCTCTATCTCCTTTTTTCCTCTCTGTTTATTTCTCAAAATCACTCACTCTTTCTTCTCCTAACTCCCTTTCTCTTTCTGTTCGTTTACTCACCCCCCCACTCCATTCAGCTTTCTCCTTCTCTGTCTCACTATCTTCTATGATCTTTTAATCTCTCTCCTGTGTCACTTGCCCAGTCTCCTCCTCTGTTACTCCTTGTATCTCCCTCTCTCATCCTACCTCTTTATGCACTTCCATCATTGTCACATACTCTTTTTTTTCCTCTTCTATTGTACTTTAATTCTTCTTTTCTTTTCGCTGTCTTCTCTCTCCCACCTTACCACCTTATTTGTACATATCTATCTATCCATTCATACATATATATATATATATATATATATATATAATATATGCATTTGAAATTTTTTATTAAATTTTATGTCTATCAGTACTGCACATTCAGTAAACTCTGGTCCTCATCTTTATTGCCATATTCACAACATTTTGGCTGTTGTACACTCTGGCCTTCTTTAGGTGATTGGAATTTTGAACTGAACCCTTTATTTTGTCCACTGGGGTAGATTGTTCTAGTTCCACATGCTATGCCTCTTTTGGATGTCTCAATTATCCCCTCTGTAACTTCAAGTTTTTGTTCACCACTATTCAGGTATTAAACTCCCAACTCTTTGGGTCCAGTCACTAGATCCAACCAATCCACTGGATCATGTGTCACTGAGGATTCTTAAATCTTACTAATGAAAATGTGTTCTCTGGCAGTGATTAAACATGTATCCTACTTTATAGGGGAAACAATCATTTGATCTGGCATGCTTTACTGTGTGATCTCTGCTGAAGAATACAATATCATTACTAAGATTTTCTCTAATGTGCAGACTGATAGATGTAATACAGTGTTTAATAAATGGAAATATGTTGCTTTAGATATATATATATATGTGTGTGTGTGTGTGTGTTAATTAAAGATCAAATGCAGATTGGAATCTGACAGGATAATAAGACAAAGAACAAATAGGAAACGTATATCAATTTTATCACTTTTATTAAAATTTCATCAGAGATAGAGAGAAAACAGACCAAAAACAGAACTTTCGTATTTTCAATTTTATTTGGGTCAATTCTCATTCATCAGTTACATATCACATTCATTAAAACTGTAGATAATTCTATATGTATGTAAAGATTCTTGTATGTCTAAGTGGGCATCGAATGGTAATGTGTATTCATAATTGCGTATGTATGTCTGTCTAGTAGGAGTAGTTCTAATTTATTTACCTTTGTGGGATCAGCCTGTGCAGTGGGGTGGCTTTCCACTCTAATCTGACACTGTTCTTTTTTATTCAAGTACTCTTTGTATTAGATTCTTTAAGAATGGATTCAAAGAAAGATGGCAATATAATGTAATGTTTTGGGCACGTGTTTATAATTGGTAATAATGTTGTGTAAAATTTTAGTTTGAGTATATCTGTAAAAGGACAATATGAATAAAGACAAATGAAAATATAGCTGATGTGTTTTGTCCTCTGAGAGACTTTATACCTTGATATAGTCCCTCAGAGGATGAAACATGTTGGCAAAGATAAGTTTTCCTTTTTTTTTTATTCAGTTATATACAAAGAATATAAAAAATACTTTTACAAACTTTATGGGTGGGTTTTTCATGCTAAAATAAAGACAAAAGTCCATATAAACATATGTTGCCATATTCATTTTTGTATTATTAAGCTTAAAGTCTATGGTAGATGCTGTTAAATGTACAATCCAAGATAAAATTCAAAACTACTTTTACCAACTTTGTCGGGGTTGGGGGTAGGTTCCTGACACCAAAACAAGATAAAATGTCCATATAAATATATGTCCAAAAGTTCATTGTTATACCTCAACACAGAAACTCATAGCAAATGTCCTTTGATTCTACACACACATGCAGTTGTCAGATCATTGACTTTCAAACTCTTTCAAATACTTCCACATGGTGTCAAATGGTTTCACAGACCACCATGATATGTTGATGAAGCGTCTCTGCATTATTAATGTCTGCAACATAAACCAATTAAAAATCTAAAGGACTGAGCTCAGGGAGAATGTGTAGGCCATGGAAGTGATCCTCCCCTACCTCTCCATCTTTCATAGTAGATGTCAGCCGGTGCATTGCAAACAATGTGACTAAAATATGTTGGGGCCACATCATGCATGAACCACATGCATCTTCATATTAACAGGGGTACATCCTCTAGCAGGCCTAGAAGTGTGTTTGAAATAAAGTCTCTGTAAACAACTCCTTTAAAATATTTTAGGAGAACATATGGACCTACCACATAGTTACTTACAATTGCAGCCACCCATTAATCATAAACTGATTCTGGTCTCTAGCCTGTATTGTACCATGACGATTCTGATCCACTCACAAATGTTGATTGTGTAAATTTATTTCATCTCTTCCAAATGTTGCCTCAACCATAAAAAAAACTGAAGAGACAAACAATAGATTTACAGTTTGTACACTAAACCATCGCAAAAAGTTTGTCCATAGTTAGTGATCAGAGGGTGAAAGATCCTGCACATGTTACAAATGATATGGATACAAGAGCTACCTTCCATGTGGTACTATGAAATGTACAATATGCTAGGGCCATTTGACATGTGCTGTTACCTGGATTGTCTCCAGTAGGCTGAGCAGAACTGTGTCTTCCTGATCTATAGTTTATTGTACCACGGATCCTGTTTCAGCAATGCAATGATAAATACTAGCAAGGGTTGGATGACTTTGCTGCCTTCAGTCTGAAAAGGAATATGACACAGCCATGCAGCCTCATGTCCATTACCATTTGTGTGGCTGCATATAAAAATCATATCTGCCTGCTAATGATATTAATGTCCTGCCATTGTTAAGTGGAACACTTTTCAGTTAACTCATTACTATATACATTAAACGTTGAAGAGAGACTAGCCACAAATGTACATAATTGACAAATAAAATCTAGTACAAATGGCAACACAGCGCCAACTGCTATAAAGTTTCTTTAAACTTAATATCTTAAAAATGAATGATTTGTGGACATAGGTTTATATGGACTTTTGTCCTTGTTTTGATGTGAAAAACTCACCCCCAAAGTTTGTAAAAGTATTTTTGATACACCTTATATATCAGTCAGGTTTTGATCTTAGCTAGAGGCAACCGGACATCTAGTCACACTGATGAGCTGTGATACAGTGAAACAGTCTGTCTGTGGATGACAATATATGCCTCTGAAAAATTTCTGGGGAGGAAGTTTTGGTTTGTAAACAGTGACTATTATGGCTAATAGTGCAAGACTCTTCAGTAAATTGAATTGAGTTCTCTCAGTCACTATGTGTTTATCTAAAAAAAATAAATACGCTTAAATTCACCTTCATCCCTGCTGTGCAACAATGGCTTAATGGTAGAATCCCTGACTGATGCCAATTCAGTCGAATTTCAATCCTAGCCAGAGGCAACCGGATGTCTAGCCACACTGATGAGCTATGATACAGCAAAACAGTCTGTGGATGACAATATATATGCTCCTGAAAAATTTATTTCACTTCAGCTCTCTGGGGAGGAAGTGTAGGCTTGTAAACAGCGACTATCATGGCTAATAATGCAAGACTCTTCGGCAAATCGAATTTGCTCAGTCACTGTGTGTTTGTCTAAAAAAATAAATACGCTTAAATTCACCTTCATCCCTGCTGTGCGCCAACAGCTTAGTGGTAGAATCCCTGACTGACACCAATTCAGCCGGGTTTCGATCCTAGATAGAGGCAACTGAACATCTAGCCACACTGATGAGCTGTGATACAGCAAAACAGTCTGTCTGTGGATGACAATATATATATATATATATATATATATATATATATATATATAAAAAAGACCTGAAGTAAAAGCATTAAACTATTTATATCTCAAACCAAGAATATTGAAAAACTATTGAGCAGCAAAATCAAGAAAACTTTTTTGAAGATTGTAGGTGGCAGGAAATCAAGAAATCTTTTTGGAAGATTGTAGGTGGCAGGAAATCAAGAAATCTTTTTGAAGATTGTAGGTGGCAGGAAATCAAGAAATCTTTTTGGAAGATTGTAGGTGGCAGGAAATCAAGAAATCTTTTTGGAAGATTGTAGGTGGCAGGAAATCAAGAAATCTTTTTGGAAGATTGTAGGTGGCAGGAAATCAAGAAATCTTTTTGGAAGATTGTAGGTGGCAGGAAATCAAGAAATCTTTTTTTTAGATTGTAGGTGGCAGGAAATCAAGAAATCTTTTTGGAAGATTGTAGGTGGCAGGAAATCAAGAAATCTTTTTGGGAGATTGTAGGTGGCAGGAAATCAAGAAATCTTTTTGGAAGATTGTACGCAGCAGGAAAGCAAGAAATTGGAAGAGCATTCCACAGAAAATAAACAATCAGAATAACACTGATGCTTACATCTAGCTATTTCAACAATAAAACAATGAGATATGGTCTTTGAAAATGTATTTCTGATCTTGAAACACTACTCAGTTCAAACTTAGTGATCTTTATCGCCTGCCCCAAACAAATGTCTTTTCACCTCTGAACATAAAATCAAAAATTATGGCTTAGGATTCCAAGAGGAAAAGACAAAGGTCAGACATGAAATGTGAAATGGATTATACAAATCCACAAAACTATGATAAACCTTCAAAATCTCTTGTTAGGTCATGTGTTATTAGCTCTTTGCTGGGAATGAAAAGAATGTTTTAAAGATTTATTTCCTGACGTTAAAAGATGATGTCAAAGAAAAATATAGATTCGGAATTGGCAATGGTAATACAGATAGAATCAGTGAGGTCAAACCTATAATGAAATTATATATGTGTATAAGTGATATTATATGTAGAATGGTTTCTCAAATATTGTCACTTTGCAAGGATGAATATATTATTAAATATTTTATGTTTATCTTCTGGAGCTGCCAAGCTCTGTAAAACTATTTTATACTGTATCTTGAATAAGTCTATTGCTCTCCTAGCAGTCACTTGTACAAATCACAATATCGCTGGTTCAATTCACCGTCCTCGCTTTCTTCACACGTCACTACATATAGCCAACGTTTCTTTCCCCTTTGTCACTGCTCCAGCACTCTTTCATCAGGCCAACACCACGGTTCACCAACCAATCAGCATTCTTCGCTGTTATTCTCGGTTACACAGGCAAATTGCCTCCTCCAGTTCGACCAATCAGCACACGACTTGCTATTGGTGGAAGCATTCCAAACTGTACAAAAAAACCCTCATCATTGCACATACTGCTAGAATGGCTGGACGGAAGAGTAATGCCATTTTCAAAAGGCAAACTTGCTGATGTCACGTGCGCACGTTAAGGTAAGACCCTTATTTTCCTATACACCAGATGCAAGCCACTTTGGCTCGCTTGCTTCTACGGCGCTGTTCACCAGATATACATAAAGTAGTATGATGCATGTTTGTTTAAATTTGAAATGTGCTAAATAATAACAGATTATTATTTTTAGAGGAAGTGTATCTCAGCTCTGATGTCTGGAGGTTGATCTTTGGGGTCAGATGCAAGACATAATAAGGACATCCACTTTGATTGGCTGAGCTAGCATGGAAATTATAGAGAAAGGTTTTTTTCTGTGAGTTTTCTTACATGTCGAGCAATGTAGACATGTTCTCTTATACCACATCCTAATTCGTAAATGTTGAATGCTTATTTCTTTACATCTGTGCTTGTACACGAGCAGAGCATGTTCTAAGAGGAGATTAAATAGACTGAGGCTCTCATCATTTACTCTTTCTTGTTTCTGTTTTGGAAAGGTTTATTCTGAGTTATATTTCTTGGAATAGTTGGTAGAGGATGTTGATTTGTTGTTCAAGATCGTTCTTATTCAAACTATGAATAACTATGTCATCAGCATAGTCTGTCTTATCAGCAGTACACTGGACTCAGGGGTAGGGTGTGGTGGAGAGAGAGAGAGCAGGATTATTGTCTTCTATTAGTTGATTTATTTAAGATGTGGTTATGGTGAACAGCACCGTAGAAGCAAGCGAGCCAGAGTGGCTTGCATCTCCTGTCTAGCAGTTCCAGCAGTATGTGCGATAACGAGGGTTTTTGTACAGTTTGGAATGCTTCCACCAATAGCAAGTTGTGTGCTGATTGGTCAAACTGGAGGAGGCTATTTGCCTGAGTAACTAAGAATAAAAGCAAAGAATGCTGATTAGTTGGTCGACCGCAATGTTGGCCTGATAACAGACGGCTGAAGCAATGAAAAGGGCAGAACAAAAGATGGGTAACACGTTGTGAAGTGTTTATTTCGGCTTTCTTCATTTCGCAGAGACCACAAACTAACTCCACATTTTCAATCCATTCTACAATTGGTAGATTAGTAGCAGCTCCACTGAATTCAGGTATCAGCCTAATATCGAAACTTCTGTCCGCCATGATTTAGAAAAAGGCCGAAATAGCTTGTAGTTTATATAAATCTGTATTGATATGAGGTCACTTGTACAAATCAAGATACCACTGGATCGGCCTTGCGTGTTCTCCTTATGTGGAAAACTTGTGAGCCACTTTCCTGTTTGCGGCTGACTATGAGTGGACACTGCATTTGTGAAATGACAAGAAAGCGCCCTAACCACAGGATGGGATGATGAGGTTGAGGATGCCGCTATTAATTGCAAGCTAACTGATATAATAGCCAGAATATGCGAGTCTGATCCAGTAGGAGACAACTGATGTGTGAGTGGCCGTGAGCATGTGGGTAGATGTGAGTTCTGTCGTCACAGGTGTCGTATTAGAGGTAATTGGAAATATCACTGATGATGCATCATGGCTGCACCCAGTTGATGCTAAGCACATCAATTTAGCTGAGCTAGACGCAATGATAAAGGGTCTCAATTTGGCTCTTCAATGGCAGGTGTCGACAGTACATTTTTTTACTGATTCAGCATGTGTTCATCAGTAGATTTCGAACACCTTAAGTGGTAAGGCTCTAATAAATATGAAGACATCTGGGGAAATGCTTGTAGCTGAATATGGCTTGACGGTGGACATAACACTGCTCAAATCCAACATGAATCTGGCAGACCAGCTGACCAGGGTGCCAAAGAGGTGGTTAAACCTACACAAGGAGGAAACGGAGCCAGTGCAGTCAGTATGCGCCACTGCAAAGACCAAGTTGGACGCACATCAAGTGGCTAATATCCACCGGAAAACCGGACACCTGGGCATGAAAAGGACCTTGTACTTTGTTAGGTTGATAGACCCTTCAGTATCGTCAGAAGTGGTAAAAGTGGCTGTCAAGGAATGTGAGGTGTGCCAAACCATTGACCCGCTCCAGTGCATTGGCAAAAAGGAAAACTGAATGTGAGGGACAACTGGAACAGGTTAGCAATGGACATCACCCGCCATGGTGGTAAGCACTTTCTGGCAATTATTGATTGTGAACCCTCTTGGTTCACAATATAGTGACCACTGTGTCAAAAAAATTCTACCAGTGTAGTTCGTCAGTTAGAGGTAATTTTTTATGAATGGGGTCTGCCATTCGAGATATTGAGCGACTCTGACACAGCATTCACGTGCAAACATTTGAATAATTTTTTGAGTAATTGAGGTGTAATTTTGCGGTTTCGATGTGCCTATGCACCTGCAAGGAATGGTATAATAGAAAGAAATCACCGAAGTATCAAAACCATTGCAGCTAGAAAGCAGTGCTCTATAGGCAGTCTACTGGTATAACGTTACACCTAAAGATAATCACTCACCTGCTACTGCACCAGTCGATGCACTTTATAGGTACCATACCCATATATGTGGCATCGAGGCTATGTCCCCCATTGAATCGCAGAATATTCAAGGAGCATATGAAGTGGGAGACGTCGTTTGGGTGAAAATTCCCCGCGGAAGATACACAACTAAATTTCTAATTGGTCACGTGACTTGGGTTAATAGTCCACAGTCAGTGCACGTTGATGGAGTTCCACGTCATGTGAAGGACTTGCGATCCTTCATGGGACCAGTCCCAACGGCTACACAGGACAGCGATTCTGAAGAGAGTGAGAGATTAGTAAGTTTGGGATCAACCTCATTATAAGAAACTGATCACTCTCTTGATACTGAGTCTGTTGAAGACGACACAAACGTAGAGGACTACTCACCAACTGTTAGAGGCCAAAATACTAATGTGGTACATCCTGCTAGCTCCCCTGATGACAGTTCATCTGAAGATGAAGCTCGTGTTGCTCCACCTCCTCAGCAAAGTACCTGGCAAAAGCGACCTGCTCGCGACTTTGTTTTGTGATCATGAGATCAGGGGGGAGTGTGGTGAACAGCCCCATAGAAGCAAGTGAGCCAGAGTGGCTTGCATCTAGTCCATAGGAAAATAAGGGTCTTACCTTAATGGGCGGCACGTGGCATCAGCAAGTTTTCCCCATGAAAATAGCATAACTCTCCCGTCTAGCAGTTCCAACATTATGTGCGGCAACGAGAGTCTTTGTACAGTTTGGCATGCTTCCACCAAGTGGTGTGCTGATTGGTCAAACTGGAGGAGGCTATTTGCCTGAGTAACTGAGAATAAAAGCGAAGAACGCTGATTGGTTGGTCGACAGCAGTGTTGGCCTGATAAAAGAGGGGAATGATGCAGTGAAAAGGGCAGAACGAAAGATGGATATACGTTGTGAAGTGTTCAGAAGGCAAGAACGGCAAATTGAACCAGTGGTATTTTGATTTGTACAAATGACATCGTAGCAATACAGACTTATTTATACTACAGTGGGATAGAATGCTCATCTCTTCAGATCTGTGTATATAAATGTTCAGGGCATAGTCTAGGAAAAGTTTAAATAGACTGGGGTTCTCCTTTCCTCCTTGTCATAATTATGATAAAGTTTGAAATGTTTCTATATTGTGGTCCTCATCAGACATGCATGACTTTGTAGGCCGATATACTTTTTTTTAATAGATTGTTGCATTCAGTAGAGTCAGAGCTTGAAAGATGATTTCTAACAGATGAGAAGAGGCAGTTTCTCTTCATATGTTTACATGCTGTTGTGAGGTTAACATAGCAGGCATACAGTTTTCTATTGAAGTGGTAGAGAAATCTCTTGGAGTTGTTTAATGACATATATGCCATCATTAAATCTCTTAACCGAATGGAAACCAGATTGGGTTGGGAGGTGTTCACTTTTGTAAAACCTACTGAATCTAATGTTCATTAATACTTTCACCATAATGGATGCAACTGAGATACTTCTGTATGCGTGAAACTATTGAAGTGTGGAGGGCAATGCTAATAAAAGTGATCAAATCTTAGTTTGAAAAACAAGTTTTGTGTCTTTATGATTAAGAACATTGTGCCTGCTGTTCATATTTTCTGGCCTCTCTCTATATCTTTTCTTCTTCTTTCTTTCTTTCCCCTCCCTCTGTTCTTATTTATTGAACTCTCTATGTATATTTTCCTTTTCAGCTTCTTTCCTTCAGTTGTACCCTTTCTGTTTTTCTGAAGTCTGTATGTCTTTCTTTCCCCCTTTACATTCACCTTTTATCTGTGTCATTCATATTTTTTGCCTTCTATTTTTTTTCATTTCAACTTTTCCTTTCTTTTTACTTTCTTTATGTTTTTTTTCCTTTATTCATTTCTTTCTTCCTATAGTATTGTTTGTAAATGAGGTACTGCTATAAAAGCAGTATACCACAGTGACTGTCAGTGGAGCCACCATCTGTTGATGTAACGTCTATTCCAGAGAGTACTCTACTTCATAACACTTTTTCCTTCATTCCTTTCTTTCTTCGTTCCTTACATTCTTTCTTTCTTTTATTCTTCGTTCCTTACATTCTTTCTTTCTTTCTTCGTTCCTTACATTCTTTCTTTCTTTTTTTCTTTCTTTCTTTCTTTCTTCATTTCTTACGTTCTCCATTCCTTACTTTCTTTCTTCATTTCTTACTTCCTTTCTTTCTTCATTCCTTCCTTTCTTTCTTTCTTTCTTTCTTCATTTCTTTCTTTCTTCATTCTTTACTTTCTTCCTTTCTTTCTCCTTTCTTTCTTTCTTTCTTTCTTCATTCTTTCCTTTCTTTCTTTCTTCCTTTCTTTCTTTCTTCATGTCTTTCTTTCTTTCTTCATTCCTTTCTTTCTTTCTTTCTTCATTCCTTACTTTCTTTCTTTTTTCTTCATTCCTTACATTCTTTCTTCATTTCTTACTTCCTTTCTTTCTTCATTCCTTTCTTTCTTTCTTCATTCATTACTTTCTTTCTTTCTTCATTCTTTACTTTCTTCCTTTCTTCCTCCTTTCTTTCTTTCTTTCTTCATTCCTTACATTCTTTCTTTCTTCATTCCTTACATTCTTTCTTTCTTCATTCCTTTCATTCTTTCTTTTTCTTTCTTTCTTCATTCCTTACTTTCTTTCTTTTTTCATTTCTTACTTTCTTTCTTCATTTCTTTCTTTTTTTCATTTTCTTCATTTCTTTCATTCCTTTCTCTTCCTTTCTTTCATTTCTTTCATTTTTCAAGAGCTTTTTTTCATACTTTCTTTTTCATTTCTTCATTTCATTCCTTTTCTTCCTTTCTTTTTTTTTCTTTCTTCTTTCTTCATGTCTTTCTTTCTTTCTTTTTCTTTCTTTCTTTCTTTCTTTCTTTCTTTCTTTTTTCATTTTTTTTCTTTTTTTTTTTCTTTCTTTTTACTTTTTCTTTCTTTTTTTATTTTTTCTTCATTTCTTTTTTTTCTTTCTTTTTTTTTCATTCCTTTACTTTCTTTTCTTTTTTTCTTCATTCCTTCTTTCTTTCTTTTTTTTTTTCATTCCTTTCTTTCTTTCTTTTTTCTTTTTCTTTTTTCTTTCTTTTTCTTTTTTTTTTTTACCTCATATTTTTCTGACCTCTGTTTTTTCCTATATTCCATCATTTCTCTTTATCTTCCTCTAATTTTCCTTCTTTCTTTTTTCTTTCCTTTTTTTCTTCCCTTTCTTAACTTTATTTCTTTCTTTTTTCTTTTCTTTTTTCTGAATGATTTCTTTTTTTTTTTCTTTCCTTTAATGTTATTTTTTTTTCCCTTCTTTTCCATTTTCTACTTTCATTCTCTTTTCCAACATTCATTTTCAGCCATCCTTCCTATCTACCAAATTCATTCCTAATTCTCTACCCTCCATATTTGTCTTCTTTATTTCTTGCCATCATTTTACCAACACTAATTACATATTCCATATTGACAACAAACAGACAAAAGGTGCACTCAATTCATTATAGGTATTATATTATTAATGGATCAACCATCCTGTTGGATACCATTTACGAACCATTATGTTGGTTACTATTTATCATTGTCTGCTGACCAAATGGACTTTCAAGGCTAACTTCATAAAGGCAACAATATCAGATGAATGAAACAAAATCAACAGTAAAAGGAAGAAAGGATATGTTGATGGAGTGGATTCTGACCAATCAATAGAAAGGATATATCACAAGTCCACCCAGCAATATTTTTTCCTTTTCTTGCTTAAAACTTTTTTTTTATCCCTTATATTTTCCTCTAATGTTCATATATTTTACACTTTTTATTATTTTCTGAATTTGTTTTTTCTAATTTTGTTCCTTTATTGTGTTTTATCATTTAACATTTTTTACATTTACATTTTATTTCATTTTTTTTGGTATCACTATTAAACATGTTTTCTTTTGACCTTCTACTCATTTATCTCATTATTCATTTTCATTCTATTTTATTCATTTGCTTTCTTTCTCTTCATTTTTCTCTGCTTTCCTTTATTGTTGTCCTCCTTTTGTATTTATTTATCTTATTTTTATTCACTTTCTTCTTCTTTCTTTTTATGTACTTTCCTTTTTGTTTTCAGGACATTTTTTAAAATATTTGGCTTATTTGAATTCAGTCAATTTTTTTCCTTTATTTTTATTCATTTTCTTTTATTTTATTCTGTTTCTTCCTTTTCCCTTTATTTTTTCTTTGTACTCATTCATTTTCTTCTTTTCTGTTCAATATTTTCTTTCTTTCTATTCATTTGTTTTCTTTCTTCCTTTCTATTAATTGATTTTTTTTCTATTTATTTTCCTTCTTTCTTTCTATTCATTTGTTTTCTTTCTTTCTAATCATTTATTTTTTCTTTCTATTCATTTTTTTCTCTCTTTCTTTTATATTCATTTATTTTTTTCTTTCTTTATTTCTATTCATTCCATTAGCTAAAACCTTTTTTTCTTATATTATTTCCCTAATGTATGAAGTATTTTTTACTCTTTGTAAATTTGCTTTGTTTGGTGGATTTGTTTTTTCTAGCTTTGTTTCTTTGCATTTTTTTCTGGTGACAATTTTTTAAATTTTACTTGTCCTTTCATTTTTTTGTATCATCATTAAACATGTTTTCTTTTGACCTTCTCCTCACTTTTCTGATTATTCCTTTTTCCTCTTTCTTTTTCAATAATATTCTCTCTTTCTCTCAAACCCAAATTGTTTTCACTGTCTTATTTCACTGTCAATCCCTTTTCATTAAAAGTAATCCGTCATTTTTACACAATATTTCTATATAGATAGTTAAAAAAAATGTTTCTGCCATTGCATATCCAGCCTTCTTCATGTGTCCATCATTGTACTTAGCTGCTTTCTGGAAATTTCAAACCAAAACCTTTATTCAATATATGGGAGCAGATTGTTTTCATCCCAATTTCCATGCTTAGGGGAGATAACTAATATCAGTTAATACTTAGCAAAATTATTGACCTTTGTCTTACATGTTTATTTTTTCCATTGAATCAGATTCTGTGATTGTAATGACAAAAGTAAGCAGGTGTAGGCTTTAAGAAAGCTTTATTCACCTGAGAATAAAAGGTTCGCATATAGTGTCCTTTTATAGTCCCAGTAAAGAGAAATAGCTATCTCAAAAAGGAGAGTAATAAAACAAGGGGAGACAACTCTTGATTATTTATAACAGTGACTTTTCAGCCCTAGCAGACTTATGGGTTGAACTTGCAACTACCAGAGAATCAGGTATGTTTAATCAATGCTTTAATTCACCAGACCATGCATTTTTGTGGAGAGTACAATAGGTGTTAGAAAGGACTTGATAATTGAGAAAATTCTTCCGCTGATTCCATAGCTGGAGGGCTTGTATAACAAGACATTATGCCACAGTTTGTGAAAGTCCTTTGATATATCTAATGTGATTGTCTTTGTGACAGGATCCAAGAATTTACTCTAAGGTTTGGATCCTTGGTTATTAGGTGGATAACACCCACCCAGAAAATTTTACCTCCAGAACCTTTAATGAAAGAATAAATAATCCAGGAAAGACGATACATTCATGATACTCTGAATGCACGTTTTATCCATCTTTAGATATTTACATTACATTTCACAGAAAGGAAGTACTCCAACAGAAGGTAATGAAGAAAAGCAAGAAAAGACTAAGCATCATTTGCAAGGAAACTGAATGCATTTTTGTTAGCAAAAGAACCAGCTCCAAATGCAAATTAGAGATTGGAGATATCTGAAATCAGGTGCAAGAATTTAGATATCTGGGAAATATATTAACAGTGGAAGAAAAGTGCAAAATGGAAATCCGAAGGAGCATTGCAATATCAAAAGATGCCTATCAAAAAATGAGCAAAGTATTAAGAAACAGAAAAATATTTCATTAGAAACAAAGAAAAGAGTACCAAACTGTTAAGTTGTATCAGTCTTCTATATGTGAGTGAATACTAAACAGTCTACTTAGAGATGAAGAAGAGTCTTGAAGTAACAGAAATGTAGTTCTACAGAAAGATACTGAGAATACTATGGACCAAACATGTGAGCAAAGAGGAAGTTTTAAAGACGGTGGCAACAAAAAGGACATTTATGCTTCACATCAGGAAGAGACAATTTAAATTTCTAGGATTCGTAATGAGGAAAGAGGGTTTGGAAAATATGCTTACAGGACAGATTGAAGGTAAGAGGGACAGAAGAAAACAACACACAACCTACCTGGTGAGCTTGAGTGATTGGTTGGTGGAGCAGATTTTGAAAGAGGTGGCAAAAAGACAAAACTTTTTACAAGGCTACAAAGGGCAGAAAATTGTGAGAGCCATGATCACAAATCTTTCTGAATGGACATGGCAAATAGAAGAAGATTCAGTAGATGTGATAAAACATTTATATATCTCAACCTGCATTACATGAGAAAAATACACAAGCAAATGGATGACCTATAAATTTAGTTAATAAAAGAAACAGAATAAAATTACCTGAATTTTCTTTTGGTTAGAAAGAAACTTTATTTTATATTTTTGCTTTTATTTGTAGAATTTTAAAAATCATCTCCATGATGATAATTTCTTGTTGCCTCTTTCCGCCATTTTTAATTTCTATTTTCTGCTTCATGTTGCTTTAATTTTTTATTTTGTTGCATCTATTTTTACAAATTTAGATTTTATTTTCTTCTTTGTCATCCTTTCTCACTTTCCAATAATTTTTTCTAAATTTTTCTCTCTTTTTTTTTCTGTCTTACTTTCTCTCTATTGCAGTTAATCTATTTCTTCTTCTTTTCTTTCTTTACCTTTGCTAGTTCCCCTCTTTTTCTCTCCACTAAGTTATCCCTTTTTCTCTCTCATACAAATATTCTTTATTTTAATTCTACCCCTCCCTCTTTTCTTTTATCTTTCTTACTACCATTCTCTCTGTTTCCTTATCTCTCCTAATTACTTCTCTCTCTCTATCTATCTTACCCTTTTTCTCTATTCTTTCTCTCTCTATTTCTTCTTTTGTACATCACTTTCTCTTATTATGTCTTCTTTTTTTTTACCTCTCTGCTTTTTTTCTCACCTGTCTTTGACTCAACCCTAAGTTAAGCAGCAGTCTTTTAATGACATTCTATTCATCATCCATTCAGTATTAACAATATTTCAAAATCCAGGATAGTAACCAAATCCTTCCCATTCAGTCCTTGCACCTTCTTTGGTTCTGCTCTGAAAAATGGAAGCATTCAGACAGAACTAATTTGCTTATTGGGGCATTTTGAACTTGAAAACGGTTGACAGCATCAGAAGGTTCAGCAGAAGAAAATTAGAATATCTATGGATTTACAGGTCCTATCATGCATGTCTACAGCAGATTCCTATTGTGTGGTAATCATTGTTGAATATATTTGATGGTCCTGACTTTGGAGTCTATTATGACTCAATGAAAGGATTTATTTGTAGTCATATATCAGTATTCAATTTGAGGAATCATCAGAACCACACTTAGCAACCAGAGGGAGAGTGGGGTAAGTTGGAATAGAGATATCAAGATAGACCAGACCCCAAAAAACTTGATCCATAAAAATGTTCTGCACTTTCAATTCCAATTCCTGCAAGCCTCTTTTTTTTTTGAAGGGGAGAGGGACTGATTCCTGGCACTGGTTCTCTAATGAAATGTTTCCAAAAAATCCCTTATTTGAAATAAATTATAATAATACATTTTAGGGTAAAAATCAGAACCAAGTCAAAGGTCAATCATTGTATATCCCCCTTATTCCCATAATCTTCACTTCCTACCATCTATTGCTATATTGATCTCACAGCATGTTTTTTATTTATTTTTTTTAATTATTTCACTCAAAGCAAGGCAATAAAGCCACTAAGAAGCAAGGGATTACTGAGTGTGAGAAAATATGAAAAAAAAAACACATTTTCAAGGTGAGAGGAATAATAAAAGAACAGGAATTAATAAGACATCAATGACCACATTGATAGAGATTTCCTTTTCTCATCTGTCAGAAACCATCTTCTAAGCTCTGACTTCACTGATATGTCTAGATCTGGCAGAGAAACTATATCAGTCCTTAAAGTCTAATATGTCTTGTGAAGACCCAAACACTGAATTATTTCAAACTTCATTATAAGTATATCTTTGGCCAAAGAATTTTTTTCGGTTTATTAAGTAAATTTTCTGCTCAATAATTCTACAAATGTTTTGGCCAATGCAATGCAACAAAGAGGAAATTATTAATTTCAGTTGGCTATAATATTAACTGATCAATGAATGCTGAATGTTTCCTGTATGGCGATGGTTTATCTCACCATTACTCCTACCATGAAACTATTTTTAACATCAAGAAAAAGGCATAATAATGTTTTGTTGTGTTCTTATTCATACTTAAATAAGACAATAATTTAATGAAATTATTGCTCTCATCTTTGGTTGCTATAAATGTCATAAACAAATTATTCCAGCCTGATGTCTCCATTTTTGGGCTGATAAGGAATATCCATCTGTTATGCTGTTTCTGGTTTACTTCTGCTGAAGCAGTTTTTTTTATTTTTTATTTTTCCACAATAGGGGTAGATAGGTCTTCACTCAGTTCATACTCCTCCCTTGTCTTTTGAACAAGAGTAGATGTTTTCATCTTGTTTGCTGTTTAAGATTGGGTTTTCAATTCCTTCTAACTTTTGCTTCAACTCTATAATTCTAATCACTCTTGCTAAACTCTGAAATTTATATTATTTTTAGTTTTTTGGTACCTTCTAAGGTATTTTTCTTCTTTGTCACTTCCAGTATCCCCATGCATCTTAGTGACATTATTGCTTTCTTTAGGGCGTATTGATTAAAAGAAATAAAATTCATTACTTGATCCAGGAATTGAACTCACTCTAATGTCACCATTGTATCTCTTGAAAAAACTCTCATACATAGTATCATTGCTTATTCAACATTGAACTTTATCAGTTGTCAGTATGTGGCTTTAGGGTTTTCTCTGAACCATGATTCTACATTCCCTCAAGAATGTACAATATTCACTCATTCTCCCCTCTAAGGTGGGTGCTTATATAACTACGTATCATTCAGTTTTATCCCATTTGTGCACAGCTAGGTGCAACCTATTCACATGTTGGAGGCAGATACTGAGGTTTAGTGAAGGCATGGATCTGTATCCAGTTGCCAGGAGAACATATTTCCATGCATCTGGCCTCCCTCTTTCTTTTAAAACAATTTTTTAGAAAAATAGATTTTTCACTGTTATCGCTCTTTTCAGTCAGTATTGATGGTGGTTTCCTTTCTATCCTCTTTTCTTTTCTTTTTTTTTCTTTCTTAAGCATTTCACCACAAGCAAGGCAGGATGCCAGTAGCACACAAAGGGTTACAGAGAGTGGAAGTGAGAGTAAAGAGACATGATAGAGGAAAGGATGAAGAGAAGGACAGGGAATAGGTCAAGGCATCTGGAGATGTCGATTGACATTAAATTTGAATAGTTGGAGACTATAGCTATCAGGGGAAAAAAGTCATAGGAAGGGAATTCTACAGATGAGAGGTGTGAGACATGAAGCTATTGGAGTAGAAGAGACTGTTATATTTAACCGCTTTGACAATGAAAGGGTGGGATTGTGATACCAGCCTAGTAGCACGTTTAAATTCATGCATTCTGGGAACTAGCAAAAGTAGCTCGTCGGAGCAGTTACTGTGAAAGTATTTGTAGAAAAGATAGAGGGATGTGACGGCATGTCTGTGTGAGAGCGACTATAAATGAGATGCCAGATCAGGGCCAGTCACATCGCATATCTGTCTCTGGATTTTGCCAAGGACCTTAAGGCAAACAGTGGGGGCACCAAAAAAATATATTAGCAGTATTCCATGCAAGGCTGAATGGTTGATTTATAGATTTGAAGGATGGACTATTGTTTAAAATAGTGGGAAAAGGCAACATTTTGATTGTTATTTTCTCTTCCAGTTGCATATGCTAGCCATTTTAGCTTCTACTGCTAAAAGTCCTCAAGTGATGCATTCTCTGTTATTTGGTCTAGTTCATAGTTCTTTATATGAAAGAATCAGTTTTCTCATAGACCTCAGCAGATAATGACTAGTACAACAAATTTCTCTTATCACCTAAAGATTTTCCTCTATTTGTCCTTGCCATTTTTGCACTTATAGTTTTTATAAAGAACTTTTTAAAGTTCATGTAGAGTTCACCTCACTCCAAATGGTGTGCATTCCCAGAATGCAATACTTATTCATTGATTTCAATTGAGTGAGATGGACTGACTAGAATGAACAAAAATAAGGCCTTATTGATTGCTTATTCTGCTGGGATGGATAAAGATTTCACATCAAACAGATGGATATTCAGGTGAATAAATATGGTTGCTGTTGCCTTTGGTTGTAGAAAAAAGTCAATAAATATAAACTCGATTAAACTGTACGTATACATGAACTAATAATAATAGTAATAGCTGTTTGTTTCCAAGTACACAGAGAGTGGCTAGCTAATCCCTGTTGCAGATGCCTACTCAGGCATATTTGTGTCTTTTTCAATACCCATTTAAAAAAAAGTTAATTTGGATCACACCATTTGTGCTAAAAATTTTAAAGACTCCTGCAATCTGAGGCAATAAAAGACAGATTTGGGAATTGTTAAAATTCTAAATTGCATTACCCTATTGAAAGTATTATAATGGGATGCTCAGAACAAGAGAAGACATCCTCTGTCCAATGTTCACTATTAGTATTAGTATATCCATAATAGACAGCTTAACATTATGGAACGTAAGATGAGGACAATGTAAAGAAACCGATTCTGAAAATGAATTAAACATGGAAACATTTTGTATAAAACACTGAAATATACAAACATATCATACAAACATGCAATGCACTCATATATATATATATATATTCATTAAAGTTTGTCCTGCACAGAAAAATTAGAGCACCAATGAGAAAAGCAAGCAAGCAATATATGGTGGGATGAATGAAATAGTCTTACTTGTAGCATCATAGCATCACTAAGAGGGACATGGTACTTCCCTGATAAATGAACCCCAACTAGCATTCACATCTTCCCCTGTTGAGAGCTAAACCACAAATAGCTCTCTTCACCAACAGGCTGTCATATGATTCTCAAGAACCCCTTAGGATATCAGTAAATTTGTTATATCAAAATGGAGATAATCACCTTCTACATCACTAGAGTACTCCTCATAAGTATTTGAACAAAAAATAATTTATATTTATGATTTGGTTTTTTTAAGTTAAAAAAATATAGAACTTTTGGCAAGAAAAAAAGCAAATTATATATGTAACACATATGCACACCCACACATGTGTGTGTGTAATGTTGGGATCAAATATATGGATCAGAATCCAACAGATTCTAATCCATATATTGAATCCAACAGATAAGATGAAGAACAAATCAGAATTGTTTTATCACTATTGTTAATCTATGTGAGCGATCTCCCTTCAACTCTCCCTGCGGGGATGGGATTTCGGTTTTAAATTGGCGGCGGCCATGTTTGTTTACACGAAAGTAGTTAGTGAGGAGTCGAATAAAAATATTCTCTCCAGATCCGTTTGTCAAGTCCGTCATTCACATATTTATATTTTTTTTTATGCACATTGACAGTCCTTTATTTTTTGATACTAACAACTATAACATGTTTCACTTTTATTAAAGCTTCACCAGAGAATGAGATATGGAGAAAAAGAAGAAATTCTGGTATTTTTATTTTTTAATTTGTTTTGATTTTTATTGGTCACTAATATTTCACATGCATTTGACTTTTTATACCAATGTTAGTATAATGTATGGCATTCTAAATTCAAGGAGAGATAACATGTCTATCCAAAGTTTCAAGAAATTAACTGAAAAACATAAATATTGTTTAATGTATGTAAATGTATAATAATTCTAGTTTGTTGAGGATTTAGATGATAATGCATATACATTATCATCTAAATATATGTCTAGTAGACGTTATGTTTGTTGGTTTTTTGCATGTTGATTTGGAAATGTTTTTTTGTACATACCATTTGTTTTAGATAAACATACATTATATGTGTGTGTATGTGTATTGATAATTGTCTCAACT